TACCACAATGGCAGTAGCACATACAAAAGGCGAAGGGGAGAAATCATAGCTGTAATGAAAACCTGCGGAAGATATTGTGGATTTGAAGCCGGTAGGTTCTGACGGGTTAATTGGCTGTGTAAGGCTGCGAGTAAACCGGTCCTGCTCAAGCTAGCGGGTCTTGGGGGGTCATAGACTTTTGGCTTCAGGCAATGGCCGGAGAGCTTTATTCGCAGACTCCGCGCTGTAGCATGGAAGATCCACCCCTGGGGCCATACGAAAAACCATCTTCTGCTTTGCACGGGGAGCGGGAGGAGGTGGAGTTTGCCCTTGCTTTACCGCAACCTGAATCGAAACATGACTGGTGGAGTTCAGGGTCTTCCTCGTCTTCAAAGCAGGGCATGAGTACGCAGTACTTGCCAAACATGCCATGGGTGCTAATATGTCCTAAAAACCATCACAGTCACAGGAGTCTATGCTACAGAAATGACAGGAACACCCAGAAAACGGAAACATAATCTTGGCAAAGCCTCAACAACACACTGCAGCAAAGTTGAAACTACTGAGGTATGGTAGCTTCATAGAGCACCCTTCACGATCGTAGAACACAGTACGACACTAAGAGAATTACAGCGCCAACTCCGCACGAGAAGTAAGAGTAAGGTCATCAGGCCAAAAACATTCTCTGATCTACTGGAATCCCAATTTGCCTTCTAAAAAAAAGTCATGCAAGTGCAAGTTCCTCTTGATCCAAGATGCGTTGCGAACAACATCTAGCGGATTGGTCAACACTGCACCGGCCACGCCTGCAGAACATGAGTGGCTTGGCTGTGAGGGGGCGGTATTGGGAGCCGAAGGTCTAGAACTTCTAAGCCCTTAAACCCTAATCCCTAAACCCTATATCAAAGGATGCAGGACCCCTCGGCTTGTTCGTTGGCATTTTCTGGGCTCGTTATAAGCCTATCCTTGCCTTCTCCGAAATCCGAATTTCCTTTGCCCCTTCAAGAAGATCTCCACAGTTAACTTCTTTCTTGTGCTTACGGGTATGCAGTATTCTTGGCGAATATGCGAGTTTCTCGAAACAGCGGACACCTGGAGGAATCTAGAGATGTCTAGAGATTGCACTGCATGCAGGAATTACAGGGGTCCCTATAACCCTATCTGGCCACTGCGATGCTCAGGAAGCCTGTTGCATCATGCTCCCCTTAGCACCAAACCACTCTCCCAGAAAAATCTACACCAAGTGCTCAAGCCACTTAACCCTGAACCCCTCTACCCTACCCCCCAACCTCAAGACCCTAAAACTTCAAAAGCCCCGAAACCCCTAAAGACTTGAAACTTCTAAGCCCCCTAGGCCCCTTGGCCTGCAGTGACCGACACCTTCGCCGACTTGAGCAGCGTGGCCTGCGGGGAGGCGATGGCTGAGATTCGGTTTGGAGGGGGAGGCTTGCAATGAGATCATTTCAGAATGCAAGGCGTGTACACTGGGTACGCATCGAAGGCATTTGTGTTTGTAGCGTGTGGAGCGGTATACCCCAAAACCGACGATGATGGCGAATCCCCAAATCCTGAAACAATGTCCGTACACACTCAACCCTATTCCCCACACCCTCTGCGCTAGACAGTAGACGACCCCCAGCAAAAAAGCTTTCCCGATGGCCGTCTTGTCTTTGGGATCCACTGGCGCAAGCCACTGGCCCATGTAGTCCTTGATGACTACGGCCTCAAGAGGGCCCGGGGTTTGGATCGGTTAGGGCTTGTGGCTTTCAGCCTGGGGGAAGCGGCTCGACGCTTCAAACTTCAAAGGAAGGAAGCCCAAGGTTCTAAAAAAACGGTGATTTGCGGCTCATTTGGCCACTTCCGCATGCTTCAAGGAGTGCAGTGCTGTGAAATGTCAAAGCTTGGGTTCAGTTGTTTTTGGACGGGGGAGCGTTCAAGGCCTGCTGCTTGAGGGATGCGGAGTTGCTCGAATATCCCGTGTTTGCTAAGAGAGGCTTCCACATTGGGGTGTTAGTCGCAGCCCAGCTAACACGACTACATTGTTCTGCAACAGCACAAGCTCTTAGCCGGAATCGTTCTGGGCATGGCAAAGGGTCATGCATTTTGCATCCGTTGCTCCCACCATAATGTGCCCTTCTCTTGGAATTGGGATTCATTGGCATCGAATGCAGCGGTCGCAAGTTGATCCTTCCGCGGGGCATTTTCTTCTTCCGGTTTTCTGCAGAAATGCCACTGAACCCTAGACAATCCTCTGGACACAGAGCACAATTGATCAAAGGTGGTGACACAGGTACGGCTTCAATCTCAAATCATGTGTGGCTCTCTGTCCTTCCCAAATCCTAGGGTCCTAGAGGAATTCCGGAGAGTGAGACGGGTAACAGCTACATCGTTTGGGTTCCACAGCCGACCGAGAGCCTGACCACCATGTACTTCGGGGCGGTCTTCAGGATTGCTGCGTCAAGGCCTCGGGGCTGCATCCCTTTCCTCTATATAGGGGTAGTTTGGTTTCAAGCAACACGAAACACGATGCCCCAGAGTGGAATGCAGGAGTTGGGGTGCCTTGCTTCCAGCTGAGCCCCTTCGAGTTGCCTTGCTTCCTCAAGCCTCATCCATCATCCGTGAGCCTCAAACCCTGAGGGCCCCGATGGCTCTGTGTCTGTGTTACTTCCATGTCTGGTCCAATATTCTACCTGCTTCCGAGGAGCCAGTGAACCAGGAGGAGAAGCCCTTTGTCGTGGCCAGGTGCCTGGAAGGTCTCAGAGAGTTCAGGGTTTGGGAGCAATGAGTAGTGGGATGGTTCCGAGGAAGGTTTGGGTACAAGGTGCTCTGGTTTTGAACGTATGCCAAGTGCAGGGCGCGGGTTTAGGTTGAAAACTCCAAATTCAGTGTTTTGGCTTGGCCGCTTTTGCCGGACAGCTGAAGCTTTTGATTGAGTGTTTGCAACTTCTTGAGATTGAGTTTTCGGGGTTTCAAGTCTATGTAATTACGAGTGGTTGCTGACAGCACAAGCTAGGCCGGCACACATTTCATGGAGAAAACCAAACCAAAACATGACCAGCAAGAACAGTCAGAGGCTACACCAGATCCAACCACGAACGCCCCAGCTTCTGCATATACATCCTCGAGCAGGTAAGTAGAAGCGCCTCAGTTCAGTGCATATCACTGACCCCACCTACAAACCATCATGCTCTGCCACCTCACCCCATGTGGATTTTCTTTTCCGACCTAACAAGGCCCTGAAGTCTTGCGGTAGACTAGTAGGCCAGTCGGTTCTGCCTCAGCATTGCAACGTTGGGGAACGTCTTCTTTGCAAGCTCCTGGCACATCAGCAGGAGTTAGGGAGTCTGGGGCGAAGTATTTGGGATTTGACAGGCTTGGAGGCGAGGCTCAGGCCAAAACCTGTGCGTTTGTCTTCACCGAAAGCATGATGCAAGTACCGGCCTTCACTGCTCACCAAAGGTCGAAATCCAACAGACTTCTCGTATGAACGACATATGAACCACTTACACAACGTGAAGCACAACTCGCTAACAGCTCCTTGACCCTGCTTCTCTCATTCCTCCAATGTTCCGGACTTTGGTAGTGTTCGTAGCAAAATATCGCTTTTACTCCACACCTTCTCCTTTTGTTTTCCCGGAAATTGCAAAGTGCCCATAGAGAACTTCAAGACCCCCAGACATGCAGAAATCACTATCACTCCCGCAATACCTCCCACCTAATAATACCGATGCAGCCGCCACAGGGCCCCAAAGTGCTGTTACAAAGAATTAAATGATGGAATGATTCGAGCCCCTCCAAGCCTCGCCAGGATTCTGGAGCATGATCGATGAGCGCACAAAGGGCTGGTTCACCGCCTGCAGAGTAGGAAGGCAAGGCGCCAAATGGGACGTGTACTTGTTCGTTGTTAATTGGGGTCTGTACCGGAGGTTGTTACATAAACCTTTTCTTGTACGATTTGCCATCGAGAGCACAGCCCGCTTTCCCAGAGCCTCGCAATCACATTCAGATTCGGCAGCCGTGGGCCCTGGAACGATGGAAACATCAAACTGTCAAGAAGGGACGTAGGACTACCAGCGCTGATCCAAAGCCCAACACTCAAAATGAATTAACACTAATGCCATGTTATCCCAAAAGGGATCTATAGGGTCCAGGTATCAGGACTGAAGACCCAGAAGAAACTCGAAGAGCCTGGGCGAACGCCGAGACGCAAAGCGACGGCAGCGTTGCAGCGAGGCCCGTGCTGAATCCCTGACAAGGGATCTGCAAAGGAGCTTTGTATGTGTGTATATATATTTCTTATATACATACATACATATCTGTATCTATATGATCACAAACAAGGATGTAAGTGCGGATCTTCAAGATAGGCCGGGTACTACAGCCTCAATATGCCCAATGAAGTACGTTTGCACACTCCTCTCGGGCAACAGGCCCATTAAATTCTGTACTCCACGCAAACCCCAGCATCCTCTGCGCAAGTAGGGGTCCCCCGCTCATATTGTGATTGTCCTACTGTCAGGTCAGAGCTTCGCTGGCTGTGAGTGTGACCGCTCCTGATTGTGTTTTCCATGTCTGCATAAACATGCAGGCTCAGCGAGGGGGAGGGAGCGGGCTAGTGGCCTAGCTAGGGAGTTTCCTGAGCCATTGTGGTTTGGCTGCCGAGAAAAGAGCGTGGCCGCTCTGTTGGGGAAGTTTCTTCGAAGACCTGCGCGAGGCGCGCAGAGGGTTTGGAGACAGTGGGCTGCCAGTGTGCAATCATTACGATTCACACTGGTAGCGGAGCCTGCCACCCCGCTCCAGGTTCCGAAGGGAGTGTAAGGGTGAAAGGCCGCTGCTGGTGAACAGATCGATCCAGGACCATGCCTTCCGAATCTGAAGGAGCTGCATCGTCAGCCCCCGATGACCGAGGGAGCTCGATCTGGACACTGCTTCCGTCCTTTGATCCTGCCAGTGACGATCCACGTGAGTATCGTGACAAGGTGCTTTTCCTGCATGGGATCTGTCTTCAGAAAGACAAGGCAATGCTGGCGCCTCGACTGGCGATGCTTTGCAAGGGGACGGCATGGAGTCAGGTTAAGAGCATCGAGCCGGGCAAGCTCACGGATCCAGACGGCGGAGTCAAGGTTCTTCTTCTTGCTCTTTCGAGTTGGGACGAAGCAGCCAAGCTTCAGACGTACGACAAGTGCGAGAAAGCTCCCTACAGGATCCAACAGAAGAGCGATGAGACCACGATGTCCTTCGTCAATCGCCTGAGTGTGGCCTTCCATGAGTTGGGAGACAACATCACCATCAAGGAACTCCGAGCGTTCATTCTGCTTCGACAAAGCAACTTGAATGCGGAGGACAAGAGAAAGGTGATCACCCTGACGGGAGGCACACTGGATGCTTCGAAG